TGTGGACAGCAGCTGCAAGACCCCTGAAGTCTCCTTCCTGCCCGAGGAGACCACTGAGGAGGCTGGGGTCCGAGGTGGGGCAGAAGAGGAGGAGGAAGAAGAGGAAGAGGAGGAGGAGGAAGAGGAGGAGGAGGAGCAGCAGCCTGCCACAACCACAGCCACCAGCACAGCTGCAGCTGCCCCAAGCACTGCCCCCAGTACAGGGTCTACAGCTGGCGACTCAGGGGCAGAGGATGGGCTGGCTGCCCGTGTTTCCCAGCTGCCCACGCTGCCCCCACCCATGCCCTGGAACCTGCCAGCTGGTGTGGACTGCACCACCAGTGGCGTCCTAGCCTGTGAGTGTCCTTTGGGATGTGGGAGGCTGGAGCAGATGAGAAAGGATCAGGGAGGATGGGGACTGATGGGCACAGACTTGGAGGCAGTGGTGATGCCCCAAAAGGGGTAGGTATATAGTGATATGGACTGGGAGGGCTGGGGGCGGGTGAGGGTCAATCAGGTATCTGGGCATGCTGGGGGAGAGCAGGGCAGATAGGAGTAGGTGGTAGCCAGCACAGAGTGGAGGAGTGGGATGGGTTCTGGGGTCCACCTAGAGCTAGATTAGGATGGATTGGTGGAGGGACCAGGAGGAATGGCTCGAGCAGGGCACTGTGTCCCTCAGGGGATGGCAGTAGCCTCTGCCAGACCACAGAGGTAGGGGAGAGAATTTGGAACTGGCAGTGGGAGGTCAGGAGACAGAATCTCATTCCTACCACCATCTTGTCACTAGTGACCCTGGGATTCCTCCCCCACCCCACCCCCATACACACACATACACACCTTGAGTTCCAAGAACATTCAGGTGTGGAGTGGTTCTCCTAATGGCCAAGAGGCCCCCTTTTTCCAGGTTCTAAGCGTGATGCCTTGCGGCCTGTCCTCTGGCCCAGGGTGGGGGGATTGGTAGCAGGTGGCTAGGTGAGGTTCCCTGTCTCCTCTCCTGTCATCTCCTCCCCATCTCCATGTCATCATCTCTATCTCCTGCAGTGACTGCACTTCTCTTCAAGATGGAAGAAGCCAACCTGGCGAGCCGAGCAAAGGCTCAGGAGCTGATCCAAGCCACCAACCAGGTGGGCTTCCCTGGGGAAGAGTCCCCACAGCCCCTTCTTTTGTTTATTGCCTCGGGTTAGGAGAGGAACTACAACTCCCAGCAGGCCTTGGGGCAAGGTATCAGCCAGAAGAGGAGCCTGTGGTCCTGGGATTGTTGGGAAATTGGGGCAGGAATACTGGGGGTGCATGTTCCCTCTTTTCCTCCATCTCTGTTTGCTTATCCACCCTCCACCTCCTTTCCACAGATCCTCAGCCACAGGAAGCCGCCCTCAAGTCTGGGGGTAACCCCAGCTCCTGTGCCCACCTCTCTGGGTCTGCCCCCTGGCCCCTCTAGCTACTTGCTTCCTGGCAGCCTCCCCCTGGGGGGCTGTGGCTCTACCCCTCCCACCCCAACTGGGCTGGCTGCCACATCTGACAAGAGAGAGGGCAGTAGCAGCTCCGAGGGACGTGGGGACACAGACAAGGTGAGCTGGCCTTGGGAAAGCCCTTACACACCTTGTGTACCATGCCAGAGAGAGAGCTGGAGATCCCCATAAAATTCCCCATATGACCAAAAGGAAGAATTTTCTCACGTAAGGGGAGAGTGGGGTGGCAGGAGAATCTCCATGTGAGAAACAGAGGGCGGGCCATAGCTTAGCCAGTCAGCTGTCCATGGCATGTGCAGCCGCTGATCCTGGAGCTCTTACTCTGCCCTTTGTCCTCTGTTGCCACATCTGAGATGGGTGTTGGGAAATAGCCCCTTTCTTTTAGCTGCATCTCTTTAGAAACCTGCTTTCTGTTGGGCTAGGAAAGCCTGAGGAGCCCCTCCAGGGTGGCCTGTGGCTCTCCTGGCAGTAGAGCTTTCCTGATGGCTCAGTAGCTCAGCAGTTTGCATTCGTGTCATCATGGTGTTGGAGATGTTACGTCTGGAGAATGTCAGCCATATTGCTCTGCCCCTCCCAGGACTCAGTTTACCTGCTCCCATCTCCCCTTGGCCCTGGGGCATAGGGGGCAGCTGCCTGGCTGGGGAGGGTGACCTCCCTCAGAATGGTGCACAGAGTGACCATCCCTGTTCCTGGCAGAGGGCCTGCTCTTCTCTGGTCTCCTGCTAGAGATTTCTCATTTGTTTGCTTTTGTGAAGATTTCGCTTAAGGCTGTTTTAACCCTGCAGGCTGGCCCCAGGCAGAAAGCTACTTCCCTAGGAGCCCGAACTTTCTACCTGGCTCCCTGGTCTGTCCCTTCCTTTTTGTCCCCATGGCTATCACCCTCAGAACAATCACAGCTCCTTTAATTGAGTCCTTGCTCTGTGCCTGGCCTGTGCTTTGTCCTCCATGTGCATCACCTTAGTCCTCCCCATAGGTATTGTCCCCATTCTACACATGAGCCACAAAGAGGTTCAGTAGCCAGTCTACGGGTCTGAGGTGTCAGAGCTGTGGAGTGCTAGACCGGGATTCCAGTGCAAATGCACCATCTTCACAACCTGAACTTGGAACCTGACCGTGCCTCTGGGCTCAGCTAACAACCCCCCACCACACCTGCCACTACTGTGCTTCTAAAGCCAGAGTCCCTGCTCTCCACAAGTGCCCCTCAGCCCACTTGGGAGTCAGAGCAGTGTCATAAAACCCCAAACTGGGTCTTAACACTGCCCCGCTAAAAAGCCCTTGACAGTTTCCTGCTGCAATCGGAATAAATCCTATAAAGTCTGATTAAAAACAATTGTAATTGCCTGGCTAACGTCTCCCCACCAGACCGTGAACTTTGTGAGGGCAGGGGACATGTGTCCTGGCCATGGCCAGGCCTGGCACAGCTCAGGGTTTAGCCTAGAGGAGATGCTTAGTGACATTCAGAGGCCCAGACCTGGCCTGTGGTCTTAGGCAGCTGCAGCAAGGGAAGCATAGGGCAGACCTTCCACAGGCAGGACTTCCACCTCCAGGAAGAGCTGGATGGTCAAGAAGGCTAAGCTGGTGGGCAGAGGTGAGAGGAGGCTGGGGCTTCCACTGACACTCATCAGGCCCTTGCTGTCCCTTCTTGCAATGCTGTCACCACCCCAGTATCTGAAGAAGCTGCACACGCAGGAGCGGGCAGTGGAGGAGGTGAAGCTGGCCATCAAGCCGTACTATCAGAAGAAAGACATCACCAAGGAAGAGTACAAGGACATCTTGAGGAAGGCCGTCCACAAGGTGGGGCACAGAGGGGGAGGGAGAGATGGGGACACACAAAGGTGGGTAGAGGATGAGATGGAGAGAGACGTGCAGTCATATGCAGATAGGGAGACAGGGATGGGAGGGTCACCTGGGAGGCAGCAGGGTGACTGGATTTCCTCAAGGCCACTTGGGCCTGTTCTTCTGGCACTGGAGAGCCTGTTGTCAAGGGGAACAAGTGGGGACCTTGGCCTGATTGTTGGGGGAGTGGCTCCCATCTGGTCCCAAACTGTTCTCAGCAGTCAAGTGGAGGGGACCCCAGGGGGCTGGCAGTGACTCCAGCTGCCTGCCCCACCCCATTCCCCAGATCTGCCACAGCAAAAGCGGGGAGATCAACCCGGTGAAGGTGAGCAACCTGGTGCGGGCCTACGTCCAGCGCTACCGCTACTTTCGCAAGCATGGCCGTAAGCCGGGGGACCCCCCAGGTCCCCCACGGCCACCCAAGGAGCCAGGGCCCCCCGACAAGGGTGGTCCGGGCCTGCCCCTGCCCCCTCTCTGAGACTCCTGGCCAACTCTTCCCCACCTCACCTCTTTGAAATTCTGGACATATTTATGGCTCCGCCTCCCCACGTCCCTCCCCTGTCAGTGGGAAGATTGGGGGAGGGTTGCTGCGGGGAAGAGGAGAGCCCCCTACCCTGCCCAGCCCCATGCCCATCTCCCTTGTACCCAAGCCTGTCCCTGTTGCCCCTCTGCTCTGTTCATGCTCCTCCCCCCAATTTCATTAAAGATTTCATGAAATGTTGTCCCCAAGCCCATTATTTTAGCTCTTTTCAGAGACAGATTTGGGAAGGGGTTGGGGAGGGGCACCCAGGAGGCCTGGGCTAAGCCTGAGGGTGGGAAGCAGGGAAACCAGACTGTGATTTGGGACAAGTGCATTGCCCTCTCTGGGCTTGTTTCCTTATGTGGAAAGTAGACATTGTGAGGATTAAGATGTAGGCAGGTGAAGCACTTAGAGCACCACCTTCAGATAGTAAGCTGTTGCTAGAAAGTGGTGGTGACAGGGAGGTAGGGGTCCTAGGCCTCACCTGATCAATGTCTTCCAAGCTCAGAGCACCTGGTTGCTATTTGTCTACCTTGGAATTGCCCATTGAGTTGGATTCTTTTCAGCAGTCTTGTGAGGTTGGCATGATCTAATCCACTCTCCTGAGAGAAAAACTGAGACACACAGGAGCAAGGGTCACACAGTGAGGCAAGGCTGCTCTGGCTTCCATCAGTCCTGTTACCCAGAACTGAGGCCCAGTGAGGAGGTGGCAGTGCCCAGAGCCACTGGGGAAGGCAGGTTTTATGTAATCCAGGGGTGGCCACGGAGTTCCCTTTACAGCTGCCTGTTCCAGCCCCCATGCAGAGGGAAGCCTGAAGTCTAGAAGGAAGGACGTTTGTCCGAACCGTTTATAGGCTCTGGATTCAGCCTTGGGGCCTCCATTGTAGAGTGGCAACCCTGGAGTCAGACCTGGATTCTGATCCATTTTGGGGTTTCCTACTTTGTGACCTTAGCGCCTCTTCAAGCCTCAGTGTCTTGGTCTGTAAAATGGAGGTGACTGTCACTTCCTCAGGTTCCTGGGTAGAGGTGAGGTGGCAAGTGTTAGCTGCCCCATGCACAGTGCATGAGGATCAGGCACTGAGCATGAGGTGTGGGTAGCTGTATAGATGGGTAAACTGAGACTCCAAGAAGGAATAACAACCAACTTGGGTTCAGGGCTGGACTGGGGACACCCAAAACCAGACACACACAAGTGGTGACCATAGCAGTAACCAGTTTATTGGCCAAGGTGGGGTGTTAGGAGCCTGCAGCCATGAGGACTAAGGTTTCAGGCCTCCCCAGTGACCTGGAAATCCATGTCCTCGAGCAGGTCCTGTAGGTAGGCCTTATACTGGTCAGAGGTAAGGGAAAGTGGTTGGCTGTTGGAAATGTGCAGGTCCACAGTGTTCTCCAGGGAGGAGGCACCCCCTACCCGGGCCATGTCTAACAGGGCCCTGAGGCACGTGGGAACAACCTGCAGGAGGCAGGGGAGAAACACAAGTCAGGGAAAATGCTCAATCATTGTCTACAATGTGGGGGGAGGAGTGGGGGCTGACAGGACTATAACTCCCAACAGCCCATCACTGCAACCCAGGATGAACCATTCGGCCCTGGCCTGAGAGTTGTAGTTATATTAACAAATAGGGGAAGCCAGAGAGTGTTCCTAGGGTTGAGAGTGCTATAAGGGATCCCAGAAGTTAGGGCTGAGCAGCTCATGTTGAGGACTTTTGGGAGCTGTAGTTCTTCCCAAAAGCTGGTAGAACTTGTAGTCCACCAACTTCCACATGGTTTAGAGAGTTCAAAACAGGCTCTGAGGGTGAGGCAATGGGAAGAACACCCAGAAGCTTCTGAGGATGAGGAACCAGTGGTTGCAGACTCTTGGAAATTGTAGAGGAGCTTCTGGGAGTCATAGTTACTTGGAGCGATGTTTTCCCTTTGTAAAACTACCCCTCTCAGCCCCAGGAACCGATGGCTGCAAGCACCTTGACCATCACGAGCCTCTTGGTCCACGGCTGGCCCTGGGGCCATGGTTCCCCCACGCAGAACCAGATGGTGTAGCGTGGTGAGCGTCTGCTTCCTTCGATGAAGGCAATCAGATCTGGGGACCAGGAACCTAGTCAGCAATGGGGAAGACCCTCTGCCTGCTCCTCCCCCCCAAATCTGAGTAATATCCCCACCATTTCACCTGACCTAAGGCCCTATGTCACCATCACAAGGAGGCCGCCAGTCTGGGGAAAGTCTCCATGGTTCTGGACCAAACTTAAGTGTTCCTCCTCCCACCCATCCATCAGAGTGGGGCTGGAAGATCATCCCCTGCCATCACAGAGCCTCAGCATTCAGGATGGGAAAACAGGCCCAGAGAAGGGGAGTTCATTCTCCCAAAGATGCTTAGTGATTATGGAATAGAAGGTGGTTATCGTTTACTGCTCTGTAAACCCCAACCCATCCATCAGAGTGGGGCTGGAAGATCATCCCCTGCCATCACAGAGCCTCAGCATTCAGGATGGGAAAACAGGCCCAGAGAAGGGGAGTTCATTCCCCCAAAGATGCTTAGTGATTATGGAATAGAAGGTGGTTATCGTTTACTGCTCTGTAAACCCCTAAGGCTGTGTTGTCCAATATGTAACCATTTGCTAAGTGTGGCTATTTAAATTTAAATTGTAGTTAATTAAAATGAAATAAAATTAAAAAGTCACTCCTCAGTTGCTTTCACCTCACTTGAGTGCTCAATAACCACATGTGCCTAGTGGATATGATATTGTACTTTTTTTTTGGTGGCTGGCCAGTATGGGGAATTGAACCCTGACCTTGTTAAATGGCTATGCTCTAACCAACTGAGCAAACCGGCCAGCTCTTAGTAGATATCATATCAGACAGTGCAAATATGATCATTTCCGTCATCACAGAAAGTTCTATTGGACTGTGAAGCCCTAAGGGATTTATTTTTCCAGCTAGTTTGTCTATCCACCATAATAATTAATGATGATGAGCACCTTCTGTATACTAGGCCCTGTGCCTCATATCAGCTCTGGCAGGTGGGTGGACAGACGTCATCACAGAAAGTTCTATTGGACTGTGAAGCCCTAAGGGATTTATTTTTCCAGCTAGTTTGTCTATCCACCATAATAATTAATGATGATGATGATAATAGTTAATTCCCTGAGCACCTTCTGTATACTAGGCCCTGTGCCTCATATCAGCTCTGGCAGGTGGGTGGACAGAGACAGTCCTCAGACTTGACAGGCTCAGGCTCACTGTGTACCCCAGGTTGCAAAGTGAGCAGAATGGTAGGGTATGAATTCCATCCCAAATTGCCTGGCTCCAGAGTTCTTAACCACCGTGCCCTGCTGCTTTCCACTCAGGGCAGAGCTAAGCCCCTGCCTCACTCACCTGCCACAAAGGGTCCCAGGTCGAACACACCTCCTTCTTTGTCCTTGAGGACCTCACCATCAGGCCCATGCATGCTGTCAGGGAGCAGCTCCTCGCCCACAGCCCAGTACGTGTGGCAGTGCCCCAGCCGCTGGGCCCAGAGCCACTGCCCTGTCCGCCCCAGAGCCAGTCCCCCCTCCAGGCAGCTCAGCACACGCCTCACGTAGCCTGTCACTCCCTTGTCTGTCAGGGACACCCCAGGGTCTGGCAGTGTTATTGGCTGTCCAGGCAGCATCCTGTCCCCTGCGTCTGGCCCCACCAGCCGCAGACCCTCTGGGCAGAAGACGGTCTGCTGGAAGACTTGGCGGCCTCGGTAGAAGGCGGTCACCTCGAACTCCCACTCTGGGCAGTGGCAGTGGTGCAGTGAAGGGGGAGAGAGATAGAGAGGGTGTGAGGGGTCTATTGCCCCAGCCTCAGCTCCTCCCAGCCCACAGCTGACACTCACCTTCCTCGGGCACAAATAATTGCCTCAGTGGGTTTTCATGGGGTTCCAGGTTTGGGCAGGAAGTAGGGTTGTCCAAGCTGGGACTCTGAGGGTAGTGCTCAAGGGCCACAGCCAGGCCTGAGGGCCTCCCATCTGGGAGTGGGGCCAAGATCATGTCACCCAGTAACTCCTCCAGAATGTCTTCCTGGGGTGGGGGTGGGGGGGGGAGGAGAAAAGCCGGGCATTTCAACAGCCTTTTCTGGAGACTTCATGTAGACCAGGCCTTGTGCTAGCAATGTGGGGACACAGGAGTCAGACCTGAGCTTTGCCCTCAAGGGGCTTCCAGTCTGGTGTGGGGGAGAGGAGGCTGTGGGCACAGACAGCAAAATACCCGTATATGCTCTAATGAATGCTGGGTAAGACCTGGGCAGGGCAGGCTGGGTAGAATTTCAGATGGGACAATTCCCTCGCACAGACATCAGCAAGATCAAGGGGAAGGAGGTTTTAACTTCCCAAGCAGCTGAGGGCATCCTGCAAATTGAGAAAAGCTATGAAATCCTGGAAAGTTGTGTTACGGTCTCGAATGCCCAATAAAAACTTTGAATTTTCTCCCAAGGAGGCTGGAGACCCATGGGAGGACTGGAAGCAGGGGAGGGACAGCGTCAGCTCTGGGTCAGGTGTGTGACAGACTGGAGGAAGAAAATGGAGGCTGGGGCAATGGTCCAGGGGTAGAGAACAGGCCTGAACAAGCCCATGGGGCCAAGGCAGAGACGGAAGGGCAAGAGGTTTGGGTGCATTCTCACTTGGGTATCAGAGGTACTGCCTCCGCCATTGGTGTCTGGAGAGGTATCCGGCTGGGGAAAGTCTCCAACTCCTGTTGAGAAAGGTGGTGAGTGGAATAGAAGTGCCAGGGACCCTGGAGATCCCAGTCCTCCTTGCGAAGCCCCGCTCTGGCACACCTGAGGTCACAAACTCGTAAATCTTATGCGGGTCGTGAGGGTCCTTGCTCCGGTCCTCGGCTAAACGCAACACTTCCTTTCGGTTCAGGGCAGACCGGAAATTCCTTTTCCAGGTTGGCAGGTCGGGCTTATCCTTCCCAGGAGTGTAGGCTCCGCTGGCTTCGGCCCATGCCTGGGACACCAGTAGTACCAGGATAGTGGGGAGGATGACTTAGACTCCGCCCCTGGAGACCTAACCCTGTCTCTTCCCGTTCTGACTCTCTTCCCTCTCCTCCTGCCAAGTTTTAACTCAACAAGGTTCCATCCCCAAATTGTCCAATTTTCCGTACTCCAGTCTTCCCCCTACCATCCACCCCCAACACCCACCTCCAGCTTTCAAAAACCTTTGTTTTCTAAGTCAGCCTTCTAGGTCCTACTCGATGTCTAACCCCGTCACCACCTGCCCCAGGACAACCTAGGGGATAACCCCTCCACCTCACACTGTTTACCAGCAGTGGTGTATTCTAAATCGGTGGTTAGTACCTTCGGCTTTGGGGCTCTGAGTCTCAGGTTTTTGGGGCTCTGATTCTAAAGTTCCAGGAATCTCCTCTAGAACTCTACAACCAAGAGCCCCGCCCCCAGCGAGCCCCCGACCTCCAGGATGTATTTCCTTTGCATTCAAACACCGCTTTCCAGAACCTGGCAGCTGCAACCCTGCCTCCTCCCCACCAGTCAGTCTACCATCCGATCCTTCTAGCCCCGCCCGGCCCCTTCTGACTCCACCTGCCAGCTTTGGCACGAGCCCGCCCCACGCGTGCTAACCCCGCCTTCTCGGCTCCGCCCCCTCGGAATCTTTCCTGTCGCGGGCTCAGCTCTGGGTTTCCCGCGCTGGGCGCACGCACCTGGAAGATGCCGAAGTCCTCCTGCTGCGCATCCTGCCTCAGGCCGTGCTTCCAAGGGATGCGGAAGCGCGTGCGGCTCTCGTTCACCCAGGCCACACCCTCCAGCTGCCCCAGGTCCAGCTGAGCTACCAGCCAGGGAAGGATCCTCGGCTTTGGGGTTCCCATGGTCCGACCTGCGCACACAGGGCAGTTCTTGGGTCCGGGCGGCCTCCCGGGCCTATTTGGCCTGGGGGTTCCGCACCTAGACCTCCCTTTCAAGGGCCACGGCTCGGGGCCTTCACCCATGTTTTCCTGTGGAGACCTCCTCTTCCTATCCTCCAGAGCAGCACCCTAATTCTGCGAGGACTCCATCCCGTATCCATTGTAGAACCCCCTCCCTTCCCCAGCATATTCAGTGCAGACTCACTACTCCCTCAATTCCGCTAGTGTAGACCCCTACCTCTCTGTCATCAAAAGCAGGTACTTTCACTTTCAGGATAGAGCCCTCCTCCCCTCCCTAGCTATTTCAGTGCACACACTACTCACTCTACCTATAAACCTCTACCTCCCGCACTCACCCCAGTGTAGTCCCCCTCCCACCCATTTCCAAAGCAGAACCTCCATCCACAATTTCCCCCAGACAGGCTCCCTCCTCCAGGGCACGCCCCCACTTCCTAGAATTAACTACCTCCCACTTGCAGAGTCCATCTTTCCCCTCCTAGATCCCCAGTGCAGACGCCTCCTCTCTTCTCCCTTCCTATCTTGATCTCCAGCGCCGGCCGTTGTACTTCCCTCCTTATCTCCCTTTCCCCAAGCGCACAGTCTCCCCGCCAAGTGCCAGTGTAAGACCCATCCTGGCTCCCTCTCCTCACTCACGGACGCCACCACTCTCCCTGGCTCTTCCGCATTATCTACGTTGGAGGGTAGGGGCGAGCAGAGCGCTAGAACCCACCCCTGTCTCTGGGCTCCAGGTAGCTCTCAGACTCGAAGCTGCGCACCCGCTTCCCTTTAGCCGAGCTTTAGAGCGCTGAGGCTTTCTTTTCTATCGATTTCTTCAAATAAAAACAACTTTATCATCCTTTGGGTGACAGACTTCAAAGCAAAAGAGGCGGTCCTGAGCCGGGGCCGTCCCCCTCATTCCCTTTTTCGGCCTTTTGACCACAGGCATGCTGGGAACGTAATATGCAAATCAAGCGGGCACTCCGTGCTCCGCCCCTTCCACGTTACCAAATCGGCCCAGTGCGCAGGCGCGGGAAAGTTGAACTAATTAAAGTTTGTACAAGGAGCGTGGAGGAGGCGACGGCGGCGGCGGGCGCCGGACCAGGTGAGCGGGTGTTGGCGAGGGCTGGAGTGAAGATGGAAGAGGAGAGGGCCATGATCCGAGAGAGGGCACCCGAGTGTCGCTTCTCCGACATCCAAGTGTCTAGAATCCCCAGGATTCCAGCCTGAGTCAGATACGTCGGAACTACATCTCCCAGGAAGCTGCGCGGCGAACAAGCGCGGATCGAGCGGAATGTTTGCCTTGAAGGCTGCTGGGATTAGTAGTTCCCGACCCTCTAAGGGCTTTGGTAGTTTGGCATATGCCTCCGTCGGGGGCCCAAGCCTCCTACTCCCTCGGGGACCCAAGGGTCCGGTGCCTTCGTCCATTTCTTTTCTTTCTTTTTTTTTTTTTTTTTGCGGCTGGCCGGCAAGGGGATCCGAACCATTGACCTTAGTGTTACAACGCCTGTTCTCTAACCAATTGAGCTAACCGGCTAGCCCTTTAGTCAGTTTCTATCTCAGATTTAGACCCACTAATCCGGGTTCCCAACCTCCTTACTTTTCTACGGTACGGTCAAGGAGTCTTTTTCCTCATCTCTCTTCTCTCTCCGAGACTCAAGAGTCTGGGCCCCCAGATTCCAGCTCTCCAAAGGATCCAGGAGGTCAGGCCTTCAGCACCTTCCTTCCTTAGGGACTCATGAGTCCTGGCCCCCAAGGCTCCACTTCCTGTTGAACCCTGGAGCCCGCTCTCTCACAGGTGCCTCCATGGCAGGCTCGCAAGAGCTGGGGCTCCGGGAAGACACGCTGAAGGTCCTAGCTGCCTTCCTTAGGCGGGGCGAGGCTACTGGGTCTCCTGTTCCAACCTCACCCAGGTAAGAGAAATTGCCCTTTTCCCTCAGGGGCCTGCATTTAGGGTGGGTCCCTCTCTATCTTTGGCTCCTGGTCTCAGTTTGTCTCCTCTCTTTATATCTGGCTCAATTCCCTGTCCCTGGGCTTGCAAGGAGAGGTCCGCGGCGGGAGGAAAAAAGGACTTTGTGTATGGGATCTCTGGGGTCACTCTCTGAGATCCCTCTTCCCAGGAGTCCTACCCAGGAGGAGCCAACAGACATCCTGAGCCGCCTTCGAAGATGTCTTCCCTGCCCCCTGGGGCAAGGAGCAGTTCCCCCTGAGTCCCCTCGGCCTTGCTCCCTGCCTGTCCGCCACTGCTATGGTTCAGAGCCTGGTAAGAAATTTCCTTAGATCACCCGTGAAACTAGCAGGGCCAGGAACCTTGATTCCTAAAGCATAGACAGGATAAGGTGCTAGTTTCAGATCACTCAGCTAGGGGGTAGCTCTGTGGGGTCTCCAGGACCAACCCTCACCATCCTGTCCTCTCCTCCCCATAGCCCCCAGTTAGATTTCTGTCAGTTCTGTGGACTGACTCTGGAAGGTGAGAGACTTGGTTTTCAGTTATAGCTCCCTGGCTGTTTTGGTTGTATGACTCTGGGAAAAATTCTGCCTCTTCCTTGCTCCCCTGTTTTTCCAGTAGCAGAGTTGGTGGTCATTAGATTTGATCAAGAATGACCAATAAGTTTCCTCTCCTGTGTGAGCCTGGATAGACTAGTAATGGCTGCTGGGACTGCTGGCTTGAAAAGGAGTTCACAGCTGGGGAGAGGAGTGCTGTGATGGATTTTGGTGATGCCTGAAATGAGTGAAGGGTGTGGTGGTACTGTAATAGCAGGAGTGCCTTGTGTTTGCCTTGCTTGAATGAAATAATCTTCAGGTTGCAGTTCAGCTCTAACATTCTAAGTCCAGTTAAGGACACGATAAAGTGGAAAGTACCAGGGTTTTGGTGTCTTACCAAGTTACTCACCGGGCCTCAGTTTACCACATTATAAAATGGAAATCTTTGCTACCTGGCGAGGTGGTTGGGAGGAGAGAATCCACAAGTACCAGATGTCCTGGAGACGTGTCATTGACTTTTTTCACCCCAGGCCCAGCTACTCCAGATTTCTATGCTCTGGTGGCCCAGCGGCTGGAACTGCTGGTCCAAGAGCAACTGAAGACTCCACCTAGCCCAGGTGAGGTGCAGAGGAGCCCTGGATAAGGATGAGGGTAGGAAGGTAGTCAGGGTTCTGCCCCAGCCAAATTCTCTTCTGCCTCTAGAGTTACAAGGTCCCCCACCCACAGAGAAGGAAGCCCTACTGCGGAGGCTGGTGGCCTTGCTGGAGGAGGAGGCAGAAGTCATCAACCAGAAGGTGATGGGTATCTATTCCATCCCTTAGCGGGGATAGCAGTTGTGGGATGGTGGGGTGCTGGGATCAGAAACTGGATCTGCATTTTCTTTGGATATCAGTTAGAGAGAGGATGGGATAAGGAAGGCTCCATGAAGGGTTGAGTGACAGGAGTGTGGTTAAGGTAGTCCTTTAGTGGGTTTCATTGATTGTTAGAGGGGCGTAGCCTAAATGCAGGAGGTGTGGCCATTAGAAACATGATTTAGGAGTGATTGGGCCAATTGAGGAAGTAAGGGAATGAATGTGGGGGTGGAGGGAGTGTCTAAAATCTGATTGACTGCAGTAGGGGGATGTTGGGGAAATGTAGTGCTGACAACGCCAAGGTCAGGTACATATCCTCCTACTGGACAGCAGCACCCAAAAAAGAATGTTGGGGAAACGGACTACTGGAGGAGGCGTGGCTTGTGACTATGTCCTTGGACTTTTTTTCGGTGTTATCAGCACCTCACTCTACCTAGTGAGCTAACTGGCCAGCTCTGCCCTGGAATCTGATTGTCTCGGGAGCTTGGACAAAGTACATGGTCCTAAAATATTAATCATATGGTAGAAGACAAGACCTTAGGGCCGGCCCGTGGCTCACTCGGGAGAGTGCGGTGCTGATAACACCAACGCCCCGGGTTCGGATCCCATATAGGGATGGCCGGTTTGCTCACTGGCTGGGCGTGGTGCTGACAACACCAAGTTAAGGGTTGAGATCCCCTTACCGGTCATCTTTTTAAAANTAACATAAAAGTAAGAAACACAAAGTTTACCACAAAGTACAGGCTGACTCAAGAGAGTAAGCAGCTGCTTGCTGAAAATTAAGTTTGATACAAAGTAAAGCACAGACATCTAAGCCGCAGAAGTACAGGTTGACCCCAGGAAAGTGAGCAACAAGCCTGCCTTCTGGTGCGATTCAACTCTTACAGTTTTGCTGTCTAATACGTATCCATACTATCTGATGAATATAAACTCCACCTTACTGAGCATCTTTGGCTATCATGGTTACATAACCCCTTTCTACTGAGCATGCTTAGCCACTGGATTTGCATAAGTCACCCCCTGAGGTCTCAATTTCCCCTCGAAGGTGCCAAAAATAGGTACAACCAGCCACAGTAGCTCTCCCCTAGAGGAGGGGCCTGAGACCTCAGGGAGTGGTTTGAAACCCAGAGGTGTGTCTTGAAATCTGAACACATGGAAACTGAGCACCTCCTATCTCAAGAGCCCATACTGTTACGGGCCAGCCACCAAAAAAATAAACAGTTCAAGAGCATATACTGTATGCTCACAACTATTCATGTGAAAATCTGGAAAAGGCAGAGCTAAACTATAGTGGCAGATAACAGTCGGGGATTGCTTCTGAGGTTGGCTGGGGGAGGTGTTGACTGAAAAGGGTCATGATGGAATTTTCTGGGGTGATAGATATAGTCTATAAATTGCATATGATGTTGGTTACATAAGGTGTATATATCCAGTCTCATCAAATTACACTTGATTGGGTGAATATTGTATGTAAAGGATCCGAACCCGTGGCCTTGGTGTTATCAGCACCGCACTCTCCTGAGTGAGCCACAGGCCGGTCCTGGCCTCTGGGATTCTGATTGACTAGGGAAGCCCACTGAGGCATGGCTATAAGATAAGCATTCTAGGACCCAGCTAAAAGTAGAGCTTGGCCCTGGATGGCTGTCAAGGCCTCGGTAGGGGCGAGGCTTAGCAGATCAGGTTCTTGCCCACCTTCCTTGGAGCCGTAGAGTCTGGTTTATGATTGGCTAATGTGGTGGATGGGGCGTGGCTTAGAGTGTTAGCATCAAGAACCGGCCTGAACCAGGAAGCCACGCGTCCCATTTCCCTGGCCACTAAGGCATGACTGAGGCGGACCCTGCCTCTTCCCCTACCCACTCCACAGGTGGCCTCGGATCCCACCCTGCGTCGAAAGCTGGCCCGCCTGTCCGCAGGCTCTTTCGCTCGCCTGGTGGAGCTGTTCTCCAGTCGGGCAGGCAGCTCTCGCCCAAGCCTTGCACGCCTTTCAATGCCGTGCCCTGGGCCCCCGCCGCCTTCCCCAGAGCCCCTGGCCCGCCTAGCCCTGGCTATGGAGCTGAGCCGGCGCGTGGCCAGGCTGGGGGGCACCCTGGCCGGACTCAGTGTGGAGCACGTGCACAGCTTCGCGCCCTGGATCCAGGCCCACGGGGGCTGGGTGAGCTGCCGAAGCCTCTCCGGGCCTCACTTTGCCCAATTGTAATGTGATGGGGGGGCGGGGGGAACAGAGGGCTTCTTAGGTTTTCTTTCAGACCTCAGGTGTGCTTCCAGCTGTCCTGTCCATTGTACTCTGTTGAGCACCCACTGAACACCAGGCACTGCAGTGCAGACGCTATGCCTGGCTTAAACCACTGGTATAAACTAACAGTTGTGAGCCCCAGATGAGTGATTTCTCCTCCCTGGATCTTAGTTTCCTCATCTGTAAAGTGGGGAGAGTGGTAGTACTACCTCAAAAGATTAGTGTGACGATTAAAATGGGATCCTCCTGGTAAGTACTTGGAGCACTGCCTGGTACATCGTGGGCATTTGTTTGTGTGGTTATCTGGTTACTGTCTGCCTCTCCAACGATGCCTGCCGGAATACCCTTTCCCGGGTAACCTCCTGTCTTCTTCCCTTCCTCTGCTCTTTCTGGTCCGCTCCGGTATCACCCCCAGTGAGGCCTTCCCTGGTCCCCATTTACAATCACAGCCACCTCCATACCCTCCCACCCTCTCCCGTTCACCCTTTGCTGCTTTCCTTTTGCTTCTGCAGTATTCTGCATCTTCTAACAGATGGTAGAATTGATTTGTTTTACTTATTTTTAAAAATTTATTTCTGTTGTCTTCTGCTTCTGACATATCAACTTCAGAAGATCAAAGCGTCTTGCCTTGGGTTTTGCTCACTGCTTTATCTCCAGCGCCGGTCTCATTGTTGGATTGGGCTCCTATCCCCCATCTCCCTGCGTACCAGGCTTCCCCCGGTCCGATGGGCACCATCTCACTTAGCTGCCTCATGCATGGGTCGCTGTGGGGATTCCATGAGAGAAGGATGCACTCTCGGAATGTGACCATTGCTTCCCAGACTGGCAGGAGCTAGCCGGGTGTTTGAAGAGCAGGGAGGAGGAGGCCAATAGGGCTGGAGCAGGGTGAGCGAGGGAGAGGGTGAGAAACGAGAGCAGGAGGGACGGCCAGATGATGCGGTGCCTTGTGGTCACCCCCAGAACTTGAACTTTGAGTGAGCCAAGGTCTCTGCGCAGCGGATTGAGGTGTTAACAGGCGCCCTCTGACGGCCACGTGGGGAACAGACTGTAGGAGGCGAGGGCGGAAGTAGGGAGAGCTGGGCGGAGATGAGAATGCATCAGACCGAGGTGGGGCAGTGGAGGATTCTGGATTTAATTTGGAGAAAGAGCTGACAAATTTTGCTAATGGGCTGGATGTGGGGGCTGGGTCAAGGATGCTGGGCTAAGCAGCTGCAGGACAGTGTTTGAGTTTCCTGAGATGGGGGGGTCAGGGAGCAAGTTTGAGGGGGAGTCAGAGATGATTGGAGATGGTCCAGTTAAGAGCGAGATGCCCTTGAGACCTCAAAGCAGATGTTGAGGGGGCTGGATATAACAGTTGAGTTCAGCAAAGAAAGCTTGTTTATTTGTAAAAAAAAAAATTTTTTTTTACAAGAATGTTAACAGGTAAGCTTGGGTGAACATTCATGGTGAGCCAGTTACTCAGCCAAGGATTTCAATGGAATGATCCCATTTAAACCCCACAACAACCTCATCGGGTTCTGTTATTATCTGTGGCTTACAGGGGCTGCCAGGGAAAGTCCCTCATGCAGGTGGTTGGAATCAGGATTTGGATACAAAGCCATGACTCTTAATCATTAAAATCCCAGGATTCCATTCCCCTTTGACTTTCTATCCCTCGTCTCTCTAGGACTTTGCTCCTCCCATCCCTGTCCCCTTCTCTGTGGGTCTCTGTCCCTCTCCCCTCTCTGGTTTTTTACCGTCCTCCATCTCTGATCTCACTGGGCTGATGTGGCTGCCACTGTGACTGGAGGATGCCTTCCCTGCTCACTGTGTTCTGCCACTTTTCTTCTCCAGGAAGGCATCCTGGCTGTTTCACCCGTGGACTTGAACTTACCTTTGGACTGAGATCTTCCTCAAAAGCTGCTACAAGATTGGACTTCATGTGCCTGACCTCTCCATGTCTTCCTATTCTACTCAGGGCTGTAGGGTGGTGGCTGCCCTGCCTATTTTTGCCAAAAAATTGTTTTAAAACTTTTCATATTAAAGATACTTTTAAGTATATAATTGTTTGTTCTTTTACTACTGAAGTTCTAAGTAGAGGAGAGTTAGTTCAGAGATCTCTGGTTTATAAATTGAGAAAAGAATCATTTCATTCATTCTAGAAATATTTATTCAGAGCACCTACAAGAGACTCACCTGAACACAACATATTTGAGGCTATCTGTAAATATAATTACAGGAAATTACATTTTTTATTTTTATTTTTTTAAAAGATGACCGGTAAGGGGATCTTAACCCTTGACTTGGTGTTGTCAGCACCATGCTCATCCAGTGAGCGAACCGGCCATCCCTATATGGGATCCGAACCCGTGGCCTTGGTGTTATCAGCACCACACTCTCCCGAGTGAGCCACAGGCCGGCCCGGAAATTACATTTTTTCTCCTATTGTATGATTTGGCTATTCTAGCTAATTGTGTATTAATGGTTGTGGAGTCTTTCAAGCTAGTACCAGAAGAAAGTTACAATCCTCCTGCACAGGACCTCCAGAGCACCACACTCTTCTTGTTTTTCTCCTCCCACTGCTCCTTCTGAACCTTTTTTGCTGGTTTCTCCTCAACTACCTGTAGACTGGTGGTTTGTCACCTTTTTAGAGCCACAGAAAAAAAGTGTAAATGTGGGACTGGCTGGTTAGCTTAGCTGGCTGGAGTGTGGTGCTGATAACACCAAGGTCCAGGGATCCATCCCTATACCGGCCTGCTGCCAAAAAAAAAAAAAGTGTGCAAATGCGTAAGATGAAATGTACAGGATTACAAAAGGAACAAATTAACAGTCAACTTGTGGGCCGGCCCGTGGCTCACTCGGGAGAGTGCGGTGCTGATAACACAAAGGCCACGGGTTCGGATCCCATATAGGGATGGCCGGTTCGCTCACTGGGTGAGCGTGGTGCTGACAACACCAAGTCAAGGGTTAAGATCCCCTTACCGGTCATCCTTAAAAAAAAAAAAAAAAAATAGTCAACTCGCATTATTTTCAGATTCCATATTTTCGAATTCACCTACTTGCTGAAATTTATTTGTGAACCCCAAAATTAATAGGGTGCTTTCCTAGTCCCATGCACAGAGTTGCAAAAAATTTGAGTGGCCTGACATGCACGTTCCCAGCTGAGGTGCTCTTCTTTTAACTCATACTGTAAACAAGTATCCTTTTCTCAGTCTATTTAGTGCCACATTTTTCAAATTCTTGTGCTGTTGTTTTGCTGTTTAAATGGCCTCCAAGCATAGTGCTGAAGTGCTGGCTAGTGTTCCTAAGTGCAAGAAGGCTGTGATGTGCCTTATGAGAGAACATATGTGTGTTAGAGTAACGTCAGGAGAAGGAAGGGGTCTGGGAAGGCCCAGTAGCTAGTCTCAACTCACCCTGTCCTCTTACTCCCTCTTACCAGGTGCTCGACTCTGCCACAGGAAGGAATTCAAGGGCAGAGTCGCAGTAGAAAGTGAGAACAGGTTTAATGTAACAAATAAGAGATACAGGTTTCACAGAATGCAGCCTAGCTCCAGAGACTGAGCAGGGCCGGCACCAAGCTTAACATAAAAGTAAGAAACACAAAGTTTACCACAAAGTACAGGCTGACTCAAGAGAGTAAGCAGCTGCTTGCTGAAAATTAAGTTTGATACAAAGTAAAGCACAGACATCTAAGCCGCAGAAGTACAGGTTGACCCCAGGAAAGTGAGCAACAAGCCTGCCTTCTGGTGCGATTCAACTCTTACAGTTTTGCTGTCTAATACGTATCCATACTATCTGATGAATATAAACTCCACCTTACTGAGCATCTTTGGCTATCATGGTTACATAACCCCTTTCTACTGAGCATGCTTAGCCACTGGATTTGCATAAGTCACCCCCTGAGGTCTCAATTTCCCCTCGAAGGTGCCAAAAATAGGTACAACCAGCCACAGTAGCTCTCCCCTAGAGGAGGGGCCTGAGACCTCAGGGAGTGGTTTGAAACCCAGAGGTGTGTCTTGAAATCTGAACACATGGAAACTGAGCACCTCCTATCTCAAGAGCCCATACTGTTACGGGCCAGCCACCAAAAAAATAAACAGTTCAAGAGCATATACTGTATGCTCACAACTATTCATGTGAAAATCTGGAAAAGGCAGAGCTAAACTATAGTGGCAGATAACAGTCGGGGATTGCTTCTGAGGTTGGCTGAGGGAGGTGTTGACTGAAAAGGGTCATGATGGAATTTTCTGGGGTGATAGATATAGTCTATAAATTGCATATGATGTTGGTTACATAAGGTGTATATATCCAGTCTCATCAAATTACACTTGATTGGGTGAATATTGTATGTAAATTACACCTTTATTTATTATTTATTATTTATTATTTTAAAAAGTTGACCCAGTAAGGGGATCTTAACCCTTGGCTCTGTGTTGTCAGCACCACACCCAGCCAGTGAGCGACCCAGCCATTCCTATATGGGATCTGAACCCATGGCCTTGGTGTTATCAGCACTGCACTCTCCTGAGTGAGCCACTGGCTGGCCCAAATTACACCTTTAATAAAGTTGGTTTATTGGCCAGCCGCAAAAAGAAAAAAAAAAAAGAATAAATAAAGTTAGTTTAAATAAAAACACTAAAAAAATCCCATCAAAGACGTTCTGTTAGATTCCCTGGGATCAAAACACAGGTCAGCCGTTTACTTAATGTGTAACCTTGGAGTACCTACCTCGATGGGTTGCTGGGGGAGGAGGGCGGGATTAACTGTATTTATTTAAAACTCTTCTGATAGTGGTTCGCTCCTAGTAAGCACTCTCGGTCATCGTGAGCTATACTGGCCACAAACAGAAGCTTAGCTTGAAGGATAAGGAAGAGTTAGACCACCAGAGAAGAGGGGAAGGGCCTGTTGGCACAAAAGTGTGGGAGTGTGTGGTGGTCCAGGGAACTAGGACGGGATCGGTAAGGTAGCTGTGCTTGGGGTTGGGGTTGTTTGAGGCCGAAGAGGTGGTGGGACAGTAAATGTATGATTGGGGGACTGAGACTTAATCCTAGGGTTTCTGCGGAGCAAAGGAAAGGGAGCAGGAGAAGGGGCGGGTCAGCTCTGGGGACACGCGGGTGGCTGGGGGTACCGTGGCGGAAGACTGGAGTCAGAGAAGCGGGCAGGAGTCTGGATGATGATCCAGGAGGGAGAGGGTATTAGGGGTCAAGTCAGGGGTAGGAGGGGCGGGGGTGGGGACTGACAGGCTGTGGGAGTGAGGGGTCGGGCGGTCTGGCCAGTAACTGGGTGGGAGGTGGAGCTGTCTCCATTTGGAAACCCCAGGAAGAAGAGTGGCTGTGGGGGAAGACATACAGCCAAGGGTGTCTTGGTGGACGTGATGGGCCCGGGGAGACAGGGTGGAGGGGCGGGCAGAGAGCTAATAAGGCGAATTGGAAATCTTTTTCTTTTTCTTTTTTTTTTTAAGATGACCGCTATGGGGATCTTAACCCTTGGCTTGGTGTCGTCAGCACCACGCTCTCCCAAGGGAGCCACCGGCCAGCCCGAAGGAGGCGTCTAAACTGCCGCTCGCGGACGTGTGGGAGTTGGCCAGACAATGGGAGGTGGGTGTTCCCGGCAGGGGAAGGGATTTAGCAAAGGCCAAGTTGCTTCAGAGGGGTTGGTGAGTTTAAAACGCCCGGAATAGGGAAGTCGAGAGCTAAGGGTTAAATGCACTGACGTCTGGCTCCTATTCCTGACTTCTTACAGGACCCCAGACAAGCTGGCCCTCTCTCTGGGCCTCCCGTTGCTTCAGTTCCGCCCCGCCCTCGGTAAATTGGCACAAGCGCCCTTGTTCCTCCTGGACTCCCCCTCGGCTGGGAGAATCCACCAAAGGAACGTTGAGTGACAGTTCTTTGAGCCAATCACTGTTGCCTGAAGGCCTATCTTCTTCCCTCTTATTGGCGCAATTACCTTGTTCTCCTTGAGGCCGGCAGCTTGACGAGGATGACCTTAAAGACCTCATGACGTCACATTTTGGATAAACCAATAGCCGCGATTAAGAGGCGGGTCGTTTCGGTGATGGACAGCTCGGACAGCTCTGTTTCTAGATGTCCGCTTAGCGCAGGGCCCGCCGGGAGGCTTTGAGGAGGTGCTGGGGGATTGGGGCGGGAACTCCTGGTAGACTTTGCCCAATCACCAGTCGTGCTACTTACGATAGACAGGCAGTTTTCTCCATCTCCGTCGACATGAGGGGGCGGGGCCCTTAACGCCAAACGGGGCGGGCCCCTGAACATTGATGGGCGTGTCCTCCACCCAATTGCTAGACGGTATTTTCAGATAGGCCAACTCCATTGCCAATGAGATCTTCTAACGGAGTCACGGTGGGTGGGCCATGGACCCTCCAGTATAAGGCGGTCCCGGGGGAGTGAGGAGAAAGGGGGGGGTCTCGACGGCTGGAGGAGGAGTAGGTGCAGATGAAGATGGCGGCAGCCGAGGCCGCGAACTGCATCATGGAGGTGAGTGCCTGTAGCGCCGCCGGGGGCGGGGGGCGGCTTGGGGTCGGTCTTTTACACCTCCGTCGTGGGAACGGGACCTTGAGTTGGCGAATTGGGGCTCAAGCCGCACGGAGAGGGGCATCTGAGAATATCATTTGAGGTGGGGGGTTCCCTAGCTTTCGGGGGCCTTCGGCAGCCGGCCGAGAGGAGGATCTCTTCCTCTCTCCCATGCGGAGGAGGGCTGGGGGCGCTTCCGCCGGGCCCCCACGTGGCCGCGGCGCGGTGGGTGGGGAGGGGGTGTGCCGAGCCCAGTAGCCCAGCGGGCTCCACGTGCGGGGCAAAGGCCCCGCCCCCCGGCCGGGGGAGGGGGCCTGGGGGGTGGGGAGGGGGTGTGCCGAGCCCAGTAGCCCAGCGGGCTCCACGTGCG